TGACGTCCTACCGGTTTTGAAGAAGGGCCTCGCTACCATTGCTCCGATCAACGAGGAATTAATGTCATCTCGGTGCATCCAGGGTGATTGTATCGTTGATTCTTTATAAACTCAGTTGAATGAAGGAATGTAAGATCCATGAAGAATAGGCTGGATTCCATTGGGGACGGGGCTGCGTGGACCGCCTATTCACTCGATGTCAGATTCTCGAGCATCAACGCATGTTTAGCAGACCAAATGTTCAGACCAACATGCTACGTTTGACTCAGTTGACAAAGCTGCTCTCTGGATATGCTTGCAAGAAGTATATAAACCTTAGCAAAGCCACCTACTCAGAGACAGTGAACCGCGTGAATGTTTTCCATTATTTATCAACCAAAGTGAAAATCGACAAGGTTGCCTGGCTTCACTCTTCTCAATTAATATTTTAATGGACAGAATGTCAAGTGCTCTAGAAAACTCCAGGGCTTCTAATGCGCAGCTTCTCCCAGGTTATCCACTTCATGATTTATAGTAAGAAGACCACTACGATTCTCGATTACTGCTAGAACGCTAAAAACCTCCAGTGCAAGTTAGCTTACCCGTCACACTGTTTGGAATGAGCTACTCACCATCGAAATTTAACAACATCTTAATACAAGACTGGCAACGAGCTACACCCACAATTACGCTTATGACTGACCAGTTGGGAGTGGTTTGGGCTCAACAGAGTCTACAATGCCATCATGGGTGCAGTATTATTCTACAGACGCGAGAAGACGTACGACGACTAAGAGTCTTCGAGTTGCGTTGCCTTCGTTGTATCATCAGAATACGTTGGGACCAATGAATCATCAACTACCAGTTTTGACGAAGAGTGTTCGATTCAGAAAATGTTAATCGACTTCTGATAGCCACCACCTCACTCCAAACTCTCTGACATGTGCTGCGAATACCGGTCCAACGACTGCTCTGACGTGGGGTATTCACGTCAACCGAAGCTAGAGGAAAGCGGCGGCTGGGTGGGCAAACAATTAAGGGATTACCTAGAAAATTGGGGATTGTAGTACTTTCCATGTTTACTGATTGGTGTCCCAAGGATAGCAAAATAATGCGTGCTCTTCGATTGTACAAGCGATAGCCTGGCGCTTGCGAACACGTTGGATTCTATTGCGTATAATTTAGCAATATCTCTATGCAAAGTATGCTCAGGATATGCTCCGATTGAAAACTGTGAATTCTGAGCTTGGTGAGACGCAAAAATAAATAAAACACCAGCTGCAAGATTGCGCGCCTCCAAAAAACCATGACTGTGCTATCATTGGTCATCACTGATGTTCGCTCGCTTTTCGTGAAGATATCGGATCGAACCTATATTCCTAAATCACACTTTATTTCCAACACACTTGTAGGTGTACAAGAATCTGGTTGAATCAAAACGTTGTTGTTTCCGTGCGAACATATGGCTTAGCTACCGACAGGATAGACAGCGATCTAGGAAAAAGACTCGATGTAATGTGGTGATATACATCAACCTATCCTGGTGCTGCAAGTCTCAAGTGATATTTAATTAATCTGAAAAATGAATTGGTTCTTTATCCGTTCCTTGTCATCCCAAAGTCTCTGATCACAAGAGTGAAATCAGCTTTGATGAGCATATCTGCTTAGCATTATCAAACGAGAATCTGTTTTCTTTGACTCCCATACTTAGTTCCATTACTATAGATGAAAAACTTCACTTACTTGTCAGTGACTTCAAGCATGCAAGTATTTCTCACGTGTTTCCGTCTGGTCCATTTGACTTCTGTCATCCTCCCAAACGAGGTAGTTGTGCTAAACACAGTGAGCACAAACTATCCCCAGCTTACTAATACTAATACTAATGACTCCGTTTGATGCCATTGTATTTTTATTACTAGGCCAATGGTACACTGCTGCACTGCCTATCAAACATCCATACGCTCTAATCGGATAAAATTACACCTAAGGAACTTTCCACCCAACCATATATGCCTTCGCAACCGTTCTAAAGCTCTCGTTCAGTCGTAGCTTGATTTTCGTCCATCACTGAAACCATTAAACCAATCTTTCACTAATTTTGCCCAATCGAAACCGTGTTTGTCTGTGACGATAGAAATACCTGGCCCTTTGTGAACTCGCTGAGAAAGCGTAATGGCCTACAAATACTGCTCGGTATCAATTCAGAGATAACATGTCGGAATATAATGTTCTGTTACCCAGATTGTGCAAACAGAAACATCAGGCTTGAATGATTATAGCGCGAGATGCAGATGTGGGTGTTGTCGACACTGGAGAAAAAGGATGGTCACCATGACAACGGAACAGCCAATCAAATCATAGCAAACGGTTTTTATTGACCAATAGAATTAAAGGGACGCAAACAGCCAATCGAAACCCTCAAACAGAATTGTATAAGCCTGATCCCGCTAAGGACTGGCGCTTCCCGAAACCGTACTGATGATGTTGCCAGATTGGCTGCGAAACGTCTGCGAACGACACTTCCAGCTGGGAGAACTCACCAACACTAGAAACATCAAGCTTTTATGAATACGAAAACGAACACCTATTCGTTATCTCTGTAGCCACAGAACAAGTCACTCAAATACTCCGGTGGAAAACAACAACTTTACCACCGCATTTATCTACCCGTCAATTCAGAGCCAGATTCCCTCCTTCCCATGCAATAAATACGATCCAGTGCCTTTCTTCTAATGATCGTATCTCTAAACTTCTCCGATCCTCTAAGGAATCCCTGGCGGCAGACCCTTACAGTCTCGTTCCGGCACTGCTCGAAATCAAAGCAGCTTCCGTAACCAATATGATGAAATCCCTCGTTAATGTGCCTCTGTATTCTTGGTCAGTTCCTGATTCTGGGCCTCCGGTTACCATAATTCCAATTCCGCAGGCCTCACCACTAATTATTCTCGGAAAACGGTTTGGTCCTATTGCACCAACGCCTGCAGTTCACAATTTAACTGAAAACGACATTCCATGCCGATTGCAGTCAACTACCACAAGTCCCCATGAACCAATCCAATTCGCATATAAACTGAACGAGTCTACTCTATTCCTTTTACCTGTAAGTCCTTCAGTCTGTTCTCCGCGTTTTCCTCTAGCTATTCGTCTACGTTTCCGAACTGTTATGAAAAAACCCTCCTTGTGAAGCTTTAATCACTTGGAACTCGTAGGTGCCATGGTTCCCTGACTAGTTCACAGAAACGGGTTTCATGCGCAAAATCCGGTACGAATAAATCAAAACTTCTAGGTAATAATTCCGATGTGCTTCATAATGATGCTCTATCTCCACATCTCTCTTCCTCGTCTATTAGTGATTTTCCGGATCTGACCCTTGCACACCTCCAAAAGTATGCTGACGATGTCTTTTTGTGTTAGACAATATCCTTTTCTTCGGAACTCGAGTCAGTCACTGAAGATTTATTGCAAAGCAAACAGCTTTCCAACCGTTCTGGTATTAGTCCACCACATCCAATTGCCTAGATTACCTCTAGAGATTTTTCCGGTATTCATTTCAAACGGATGGTGCTACCCTTGATTGTGACCCCCGTGTCTAGAGTGACCTCTTTCAAGAAAGTGAGCATCGTCATTGACAGTAATCTCCAGTGGACTAGGCACATTCACCATTGTATAGGGAAATTGAGACACCTGTCCTCCTTCCAAAACCCCGTGGCCAGTTTTGTTGTTCTCTTGCGTTCACCAGTGCGGTTTTACGATTTTACTCTGTGTGCACTGTAGTGCTTCTTGAACTCTTAAACCAAGACTTCAAAACTATTCATCGTGGTTTGTTGAGAATAATTCCTGTATCATTGATCACAACTCAATAATGATCACATCAACTATAGCATTAAATTCGCCAATTCTGGACAATCCTTTGCATCCATTGCATCCCGGTTTAACCCATCCGTTAATTCACTCTTCCTTTCAACATTTACCCTTTCGTACTAGCATTTATAGGAATTCCCCTGTACCTTATTACGCCCGACTCTTAATTAAGAAAGAACGGATCGATCTTCCATCCCGTCATAGTTTGCGTGCATAAACTAAACTTCAGGGACATTTTTCATGCTGCATGTCTTCTGAATTTCTATATGTTGGCATACGGAAGACGGAGCGTTATTTCCCGGTAATTAGCAATAGACAGTCATGCAGTGGTTCAATCTCACTGGAGTTCAGAGAGAGAGAGAGAAACAGATCACCGATCAGAATGCATATGGAGAACAAACCAACGGAACATTACACTGTGTGCGCCGGTGAACGCAGTTCACACAACTGACCAATGATGCGGTGTCGGTGCATAAACTGGTATATAGGTTTGGCTCTAGGCAAACAAAGACGCGATACACTAATCAAGTAAGTAATCACAGAGAAAAAAGATAGAAGAGATCCGAGATCCGAATGAGGCTGAATAGACTAACCGAAACACATGAACAGTCAAATAAATTCGGAAGAAAAGACTAAAGTGATAAACTAAAACGATAATAATAATGATGGTGAGAATGCTAATCATGTTGATAATAATAATGCGCGCAGTGAGCAGCACAGGAACACTGTTAGTCCTGACAACAGAGAATGTGAATGATAAAAGTGTGAGATGAGCATAACTGATGAAAGCTCAGCGAGAGGGAAGTCGACAGTCCGAATACACCTGTGGGATGTCGGTGAAAGCGATTGCACTTAACAGCCATGAGGATTGCGGTTGACTAAGAACTGGATAAATGAAGGTGACGAATTCAGGGTAGGCCGGATTGTTCACATCGCAAAAGCTGGTGACAAAGCGGATGATGATGATGATGATTGTCTTTGCACATGTGCATCTAACGGGAGAAAGTCAGGCAGCGAGGTGTGAGGAGAGACAACTGGAACGTATCATGATGAAATGTACATCAGGTGACAGTGAACGAAAACGATCGTTACGGATGACAGCTGTAACAGTGACCGGGGAAGGTGGGGGTAAGTGCGGCTGCAGACCGGAGCCGAATTCGTCACGAATCATTTTCCAAAGTCAGTCTGGCTGGAATATTTTCCACGGACAGACTAGAATCGATCTCGGGTAGATGTTCATGCAAGGTGGCCGCTTGTTGATGCAGTTTCTCCGGAGTAAGATTGATCACTATAAATGGGAAGAGATTTGAATGACGGACAAAAAGTGAAAACATAGCACTGTGATCACAAGAGTACTACTGATTAGTAAGGACATGGCTACAACTATTTGGTTGAACTCTGATACCAGGTGAGAGAAGAATCACACAGTTTGAAGTGCATTAGGCATGCAAGAATGGCAAGAATCAAATATAGGAATTGTATAACGTATTCATCAAAGTTGATCGCTCACCGTTGAATTTCTACTTTGCATTACCGGGAGTT